CCAAACAAAGTAGTTTCGCTTTCACAAGGAAACACACAGCGCCTTCACGACATGGCGGCGGCGGCAACAATACTACAGCGAGAATAAAAGTTACGCCTTCTTTCTTTGCGTGAACATTTGGGTGGCGTTATGCAAATCTTCCCACATCGTGACGTAGACGTGGGGGCGTGTTAGAACGAGCCGTTTTGGGTAAGCGTGGCTGACTCTTAACTTTTATAAAGAATATCTCTTTGGATTTGAGACTTTAGTCTTTGCAACTTTACAGATCTTCTTTATGCACCAAGAGCTTGTAACACTCCAAAGAGAAAGGAAAAATTGAAATCGCATCATATGACCCCTTTAAGTGAAACAGAATAACCCAGCTAACAAAAATATGTTCCAAGAACGTTTTTCTAACTTTCCCCATTATGGTATGAAATTGTAATTTCAAAATGTTCTCTGAATGTTCAAAACTTCCAATTTTACAAATGCTTTAAAATGTTTTTTTTTTCTTGGTTATTTTCAACATTAGAAAAATCGTTAAGTGAGCGTTCTATTTTATTATTTTGCAAACATGTGAATGTTACTTTTCTGAATGTTCTGAAACTAGTAATGTTTAAATGTTGAAGTCAAACTAAAGCGTTTCAGAAAAAAACACTCCATGAACATTTTTAAAACATTATTAAAAACCAGAAAACTTTGAATAAACATTCTATTAATGTTACTGTAAGAACATTTGTTCACAACTTTGAAATAACCTTACCAGAACATTCTGAGAACGTTCTCTGTTAGCTGGGCATAAAGATAGTATGTCACATGACAATTGTTATTTTGCATTTTAAAAAACACACACAAAAAAAAACATTTGGCTGGCCAATCAAATAATGGGCCAAGAAAGCCATTAAATTCACTTTCATTGAAATACGGACATTGAACACAGATAATGTGCATATGCAGAGTCTGCTCTGCACACTCCTGCAATAGCAACTGTATTCTAATCCAAACAACAGCAGGAACAGGAACAGCAGCTCTTTCAGTCTTGACACGGCACTGATTCACTTCACTGTTCAATTTAAGATGTTTGACGGTTGAAAGATCAAAGGAGGTGAGATGTTTTATGTAACTCCCATTATAACTGCATTGAGGACGAGTTCAGACAGGTGAGTCTCACACAGTGCTGACTATTAAAGATTAGTGTAAAATGCACAAACATGGAAAAAGAAAAAAAAAAAGAAAAAAACTTGCATTCATGACTTGTTGGACTACAAGACTTTGATTGGATAAAAAGTTCTAACTTAAAAATAAAACATAAGAGATAATTCTGTACATGGGTCTGAATCTAATTCACTGGAATCAAAAGTAACACACTGTCTTGTAACATCAATGTAAATGATGTGTGGCTGTCAAAACTAGATCAGTCCCATTAAAATCAATAGTACTGTCTGTGCTGGAAGCGTCTGATGCGTCACGTCGCTCTTTCAGATGATGGACACCTAAAAATGGGCCATTTCTATTTTTGATGCACTGCAGAACTACTTTCAACATTTGATTTTCTCCAAGTCTGATACAAAATCGAAATATCACATTTTTAACTATACATTTTTTTTTTAAGATCATAAAATCATAACCAGCTTGTACTCTTATAATAAATATTTGTAATTTTATTTATATGTTTCCTTGTTTCTAACCATATGTAGGCACAAGCTCACAAGGATTTTCAGAAAAGAAAACTGGATAGCAATTTTATTGATCACGTCTAGCATCAAACTATATTCCATCCCTCTGCAGAAACCCAACCTCCTCATGCTAGTGTCGAATAGAACTGATACTCTGTTCTGTGCCTGATAAGAAATCCTACAAAATCACTTTATGATGCATACATGACAATACTATCTGGATTTAGTTCTTATTATATTTCCATTATTATACTACTGCTAAAAACTTAGTGGTTGGAAATATTTAATGCACTTATTTGACCAAAAATACAGTAAAAACTGTGAAATATTATAATTTAAAATAACCATCTACTCTTTTTGAATATATTTTAAAATGTAATTTATTCCTGTGATCAAAGCTGAATTTTCAGCATCATTACTCCAGTCTTCAGTGTCACATGATCCTTCAGAAATCATTCTAATATGCCGATTTGCTGCTCAAGAAACATTTCTGATTATTATCAATGTTGAAAACAGTTGCGCTGCTTCACATTTTTGTGGAAACTGTAATTTTCTTTCAGGATTCCTTGAACAGAGTTCAAAAGAACAGCATTTATTTGAAATAGAAACATTTTGTAACATTATAAATGTCTTTACTGCTGCTTCCGCTAAGAAAACGTACCTGGATAAGCTATTTTGATCATCTAGAAATAGATACATTAGGCATTAAAAGCAGCTACCTTTTGGGGTCCTAGAAGGATCTTGCACAACACTCTGTAAGGACTTGAATTGAACAACTGCACACATCTGACCTTCTAATACATGCAGAGCTGTTTGCAGGTAAATGTTTTCAACCTAAAAGAAAAAGCAATAACATGTGTAACTGTAAGATATCAGATTGAGCATCATGGGAAAAAAAACAACAACTAGTTTGGGTTTCCATGCATCCTTTATTCCTTTATATGCAGTACAATAACCACTGTGTTGCAATGAAGCAACAACCAACATCAAGAACAATTTTCTCGCAGCACATGTAAGGCTTTAAACATATATTAAAAAAACAAAAACAAAGAAACCTACACACAAAAGTGTCTGTACCAACTAGGGTTTTCTCTGCATTATATTTGCATACTGTGATTATGGTTATCTTACAAACCAGCATTAAAAGAGGTGTAAATATTAATAATTACTGAAAAAACATTGTAAAAATGTCAGTATCAAAAGCAATGACGGGCTCAGATGTAGTCAGTTTCTGCCATTCCTTAAAAAGAGTCTCAAAGAGCTTCATCTCCGAACATCATCATACATGAACCGCCACTGCATAACCTTACAGCAATACGACAAGTCAAGTTTACCAACAACAACTTCTGCTATATGCTAAAAACACAATCAGACGATCGCACCTGTTTGGTAACAATCGACGTCCTTCATTAGCGCAGAAAACACTTCTGATCATCCTGTCGTGTAGTGTTATGATGAAATGTCTACAAACACGGTCCTTCATTCGCCGTATGGGGAAAAAAACATTGAATGAATCATTTATTTTTCCTGGGTTTTGTGATTTGTCCGATGTTTGGGAAACAGGATGAACGTCAAAAAGCGGTGAGGAGGTGCGGTACCTTATTTATATGTAGCGAAGGTTTAGTTTTCACAGTGATTTTCCCCATTAGAGTAGCAGCGAGAGGGAGTCCAGAGAAAATCCCATTTCCGAGAAATCATTGACAGGAATGTCGGAGCAAAATGTCTGAAAACATAAGGCTTATTATAAGGTCAATGCTAAAAGCAACAGAGAAAGCTTGAAATTTCACATTTTTAATACAACCTACGATTAGAACGATGTAGTGTTTGCGCCAAAACAATGCCCTGAATGCTGTGTTGTGACAAAGCACCGTGTTTCACCACTGAAAAAAGACGATACGACTCTCTTCCCCACTGTATTCGAAGTCACAGACAGTTCGTCTCATTATTTACGGGTCAAGTCACTTCCACGGGTCTTCCAGTTTTAATTAGCCCGTTACAGTTATTTCGACCGAACAGTCAGCGGCCTTTACCACACAAACGCATGTCACACACACACACACAAACTGGCCATGTAAAAAGTCAGTTACTGGTTTCTCTTGTACTAATCTACTTGAAACATAATAAAACGGAATGCTATGACATAATTACCACCAAAAAAAGATCATAGAAAAAAAAAATATATAATAACCTGAAAATACCTGCACAATAAAAGTGCAGTTAATGTGTGCGCCTCGGCCTGCTGTGCCGCGCCGCGTCTTCAGGAGGTAGCCAGCTCGAACGTGATAAACTGTTTGAGTCTCTCGAGGTACTGAGCGTAAAGCTCGATGTCGTTGTGCCCGGCGCCCTCCACCCACAGAGGCTCCACGGCGCGCGGGCATCGCTCGTAGATGGCCAAACCGTGGGAGAAATCGATCACTTCGTCTTCTGTGCCGTGGATGACCAGGACTGGAGACGCCACCTTTGACACCTTGTCGATGCTGAAACATAAGACAGAGAATTTATTTTATTATTATTTTTTGCATTTTATTGCATCACATCATTTAATCCACTTTACAGGTTTTCTGGTCAAGCAGCTCCAAACTAAGTCAGGAAGAGACTGTCTGGCACATAAAACAACATTTAAAGTTATCAACAACTGCTTGTTTGTTTTTACATGGTGTTTAAGGAGAAATATGAAATAAATGATACTACAATAATAAACCAGCATGGAAACATAGATTTCATGATTACAATTCTGCGCATCCCATGGAATTAAGTACTAGCTTAATATTAGTAATAAATTGATGATTCTCAATACCAATTTCAATACTACAGCTAATATGCTGAAGAACACTAATTTTTACTGTTTAACTATATTCAAAAATAAATAAATCTTTAATGGTCAGTAAAGGTCCGTTCACACTAAAAACGATAACTATAAAGATAACTATATTAGCGTCCACACTAGCGGACGATATCGTCTGTTTATTCCAAGCGCACGCTCGTCTGCTGCTTTAAATTCTCGAGCTCGTTATCGCAGGACTGTCTCTGATTGGCTGTCAATGTTTTTATCGTTCATCAGCTGTAAAAAATCGTTCTGAAAGTGGAGAAATAAAAAAAAAAAAAAAAAAAAAAAAAACCTGGAGAAAAATCTAATCATCAAATGCAACTTATTGAATGCGGTGCAAAATGTCAACATTTCTTCATCAAGTATAAAAGAATAGAAAGTGGTTCGAAATCATTAAAACACATTTCCCCCGTAGGGATGAAAACGCCCCGCTCCTAAATATCAAGAGAGAGACTTCAGCTTTTTTCGTCAGCAAGTGCAAGTACTAATGGCGTCCTCAGCCCTGGGTAAAGGTGATCCCTACACGAATGTGTGCGCCTCGGCCTGCTGTGCCGCGCCGCGTCTTCAGGAGGTAGCCAGCTCAAACGTGATGAACTGTTTGAGTCTCTCGAGGTACTGAGCGTAAAGCTCGATGTCGTTGTGCCCGGCGCCCTCCACCCACAGAGGCTCCACGGCACGCGGACATCGCTCGTAGATGGCCAAACCGTGGGAGAAATCGATCACTTCGTCTTCTGTGCCGTGGATGACCAGCACTGGAGACGCCACCTTTGACACCTTGTCGATGCTGAAACATAAGACAGAGAATTTATTTTATTATTATTTTTTGCATTTTATTGCATCACATCATTTAATCCACTTTACAGGTTTTCTGGTCAAGCAGCTCCAAACTAAGTCAGGAAGAGACTGTCTGGCACATAAAACAACATTTAAAGTTATCAACAACTGCTTGTTTGTTTTTACATGGTGTTTAAGGAGAAATATGAAATAAATGATACTACAATAATAAACCAGCATGGAAACATAGATTTCATGATTACAATTCTGCGCATCCCATGGAATTAAGTACTAGCTTAATATTAGTAATAAATTGATGATTCTCAATACCAATTTCAATACTACAGCTAATATGCTGAAGAACACTAATTTTTACTGTTTAACTATATTCAAAAATAAATAAATCTTTAATGGTCAGTAAAGGTCCGTTCACACTAAAAACGATAACTATAAAGATAACTATATTAGCGTCCACACTAGCGGACGATATCGTCTGTTTATTCCAAGCGCACGCTCGTCTGCTGCTTTAAATTCTCGAGCTCGTTATCGCAGGACTGTCTCTGATTGGCTGTCAATGTTTTTATCGTTCATCAGCTGTAAAAAAGCGTTCTGAAAGTGATTCCAACAATATCGTTTCTCTGTGCCTTTATTGTTATAGCTGTGGTGTGGACTCTGCTATTATTTGATACTGAGAACGATTTTTAGAATCTTTATACAGTGCACAGCATAAATGAGTACACCCCCTCTGAATAAATATAAAATATGTATTTTCTTAATGATCCCTAATATAATGAATATAATTCATGGAAAGATGGCAAAATGTAAACATATTAAACATATACTTAATAAAAACAACAAAATATATGCCAATATTTTCTGTAAGATAAGTAAATTAGCCAATTTTGTTTAAATGAATGATTGCAGAAATGAGTACACCCTAGATTTGATTCAGAAAATGTATAATATTCTAGTACTTAGTATGTCCTCCAGAACTTAAAGTATACTGCTCTGACCCTTCTTGGCACTGAGTGTGCAAGTTCATGACAAATTTTCACATCTGTGCCGTTTAACTCCTGGAGGACGACCTCCTTAAATGCTCTGGTCTTTAATGAGGAGTGTTGCTCAGCTCGTCTCTACAGAATCTCTCACAGCAGCTCAAGAGTGTTAAGATTGAGTGAAATACATGTCCACTGAAGGATTTTCAACTCAGGCGAATGAATATCTTCATTGTCATGTTAAAAAATGCCCAACAATGCAGGGAATGAGGGGAGGGTAGCATCTTAAGTCACCTGGCAGTTCTCTCCCAAGTGGTTCCATGATTCAGTGGGCTATATAACACTTTTAATTGTCAGGAAATTACTTGTCTTTAAAAGTTTTGGTTCAATATACTTACCTGTTGATCAAAAATAGCCTTAAACCTATACACTTTTTTTTTTACATTTTTTTTTTATTTAGTAACTTTCAGGAGGGTGTACTCATTTTTGCAACACAACATTATCACTTTGATAAGAAAATCTTATTTTGCTGAATAATTTTGGCATTCTTCTTTGGTAATTGATCAAGCAGGCTTGTTGGAACATTATATCTCCAAAGAACCCTAACATGTATTCTAAGTAAAGAGTAATTGCTGAATTTGTTAAGTTTTAGAGGGGGTGTACTCAATGCTGTGCACTGTAGTTATCGTCCTTGGTATGAACAGGCCTTAAGATTCAAAGAAATTAATACTTTTCAGCAAGGATGCATTAAATTGATCAAAATTGACTGTAAAGACATTGACAGTATAATGTTTCTAAATACTTCTTTTAAACTTTCTATTCATCCAAAAAAATAAAAATAAAACTAAAAATCGGGAAAAAAATGAAGCAGCACGTGTTTTCAACATTGACAATAATCATAAATGTATCTTGAGCATCACATCAGCATATCAGAATGATTTCTGAAGGATCATGTGACACTGAAGACTGGAGTAATGATGCTGAAAATTCAGCTTTGCATCACAGAAATAAATTACATTAAAATATATTCAAATAAAAAACAGTCTTTTTAAATTGTAATTTCACAATATTACTGTTTTACTGTATTTCTGATCAAATAAATGCACAATGCAGTAATAAAATAACAAATGAAGTCTGTCTGGCAACACAAGACTATACATTTGTTAATTCTTACACTCACAAAATGCAGTTTACACTGCATTTGTCTTATTCAGCATATTGTCAATAGCCATATAATTGCAGTAAACAATTTATGATGGTGTTCATAGGTTAATATCCACACCAGCTCCTCCACGGCTACTGCAGGCCTGCTAACTCGCGCGTGATCCTCACAGGACAGTCCAGAGTCAAACAGGCATGCTAATTAATTTGTCGCTCAGCATGCCTAATTGTTGCTTATTTTCCTCATTGGTGCACAGGCAATCAAATTTGAATAAGTGAAGAGATTAATGCGTGACAGGCTGATGGAATAATTACTGCCTATGAAGAATGATGCAGTTATCCAAACACTAACCAAATAAACATGCAGCATGAATTTCAAACCAACACATTCCAGTGGATGACTGACAAAGTGTAAATACTGTATTTTTATCAGGCAACACACAGGGGAACGCTTTGTTAAATTGATAGGGCAACTCTTATTAAAAGAACCATTTTTCATTCTTTATCCAGTCAGTCTTTCCCTCTTTAAATCCAAAGGATCCAAAAGTCATTAGCGAATAGTATATTTCATGAGATATAATAGCACAGCTTAAGGATCCCATGACCAAGGAGGTCTATAATACAGCGCAGAGAAAAAACTCGTCTTGAGTTTGATCACTTTTGCATTCAGGGCCACTTAGTGTTATATAAGATGGTGCTATAATAAAACAAATGGAATGCGTCTCTCATTTTTTTGCTTTTTTTATTCAAAGGGTCACTTCTATGCATTCAAAGATTTTGGTTTAAAGGGATACTTCACCTAAAAATAAAAATTCTTTCACCAAACAGTTGACGGTAGCCATTGACTTCCATAGTGTTTTTTCCCTACTATGCAAGTCAATGGCTACCATCAACTGTTTGGTTATCAATATTCTTCAAAATATCTTCTTTTGTGCTCGACAGAAGAAAGAAGACTAAGACGACGTGAGTAAATGCTGACAGAATTTTTGGGTGAACTATCCCTTTAAAGTAGCAAGGAGATCGGTAAAATAATCCATGTGACATCAGGGGTTCAACCATAATTTTACGAAGCTACGAGAATACTTTGTGCACAAAAGAAAAAAAAAAACGACTTTATTCAAAAATTAATCTCCTCCGCGTCACCGTAGCGCCATTTTGGAGAGTATCCACTGAACGCAAACAGCGTATGCTATTCTGTGTCAGCTG